TCAATCATTGCTTATAAATACCTTTCATTTTTTTTTTCTTCGAAATGTAAAATTACTAGAATTAAAAAAAGCGATTCATTTTGTTGGTTGTATTATCATTTTTATTCCTCTCACTTTTTAAATACTACTTATATTTCTAAAGCAGTAGCGGTTTTAATCACTGTATTGCTAGGAATTATAGTGTAAGTTATTGTTTAACAAGTAGGAACAACCAACTAATTAACAACTTAAAATAAAGTAGTGCGTTGATATTTTATCAATATTGCAATGCTAGTAATAATTACAGTGATAATAATAGTAAATAATAATAAAATTAATAATAAATTAATAGTTCGAGGGGAAGTATATTTGCAATATTTTACAATTAAAGTTTATAATTAAATAGAACTGCGGCAAAAAATAATGGCAAAAATTTCCTAAAATAATATAAAAGTGATTTTTATTTTGGTTATTAAAATGATTTAGACTTACTATACTGTAATTACTACTAATTTAAACTTTCAAATTAATGCAGCTAGGTTTTAATATGGTTTAATAAGATAAAGTAGTGTGATACTAAATATTATTAAATATTGATAGTAAATTTTGGTAGTAAAAATTATTGATAGTAAATTAAAATTAAATTTTGCTCATGAAATTTCAATAAATTCTTATTTGTATGATATGATAAGAAAGTTTGAACTTATCTAATTTACATTTATTACTACTTGACACTTAATAATGCAACTATTATGCATTATTTGTCAAATATTTACATTAATTGAAAAGTGATTGGCATTTTTATTATTAATTTAATTTGTCTTTGAATCATTAATATTACTTCTTCCGCTGGGAGCGTATACCGAACGTAACGCTGGAACTGACCGATTATTGCAATTACTTTCTTCGTTTTGTTCTTGTTGTAATGAGCTTGAAATACACAGTACAGTTTGCATTTTGCATTTCATTTCATTTAATCATATTTTTTCACTTTTCTTTCTTGTCTCTTTTCTTTGCATTTAAAATTTGAAATTCTTTTTTTTAGAAAAAACAAATTACAGAAGAATTATTGTAAATCATTTGGTAGTTTTATTGCTTTTAAAAGTATGAATTTCTTCGAAGTAGTAAAAGAAAAGAAAAAGTTAAAATGATTTAAATGAATTTATTTCATTGTAATTAAATAGCATTTTCAGCATTTTTCCTTTTCCTTTCTATTTTTTCAACTTTTTTTGTTTAATATAAAATGATTGAAATATGAAATAGAACAGTTTATTTGAAGTATCAAGTATCTGTGTGTATGTGTCTCAGTAATTAATATATTTTAATTAGTTGCTTTTAACGGAATGGAATTAAAAATTTGTATGGTTATTTTTTGTTACAATGAATACATGAATGTCACAGAAATATTTAATTTATTAATTTAAATAATTTCAGGATGATGGCATACTTTCGGTTGTTAGCTGTTATTTTGTCACATAGCATTGTGAATATTGCATTTGCTGGTTGTGGTCATCATCGACGGTCACACCAGCCATATCCTCGACCACTATACCAGCCATATCCTCGACCACAGCCACCGCAGCGACCGTGTCCACCACCACCACCTTCACCTCCTTGTCCACCACAACCTTGTCCTTCTCTGCCACCACCGACTCCTTGCCCACCACAGTCATGTCCACCACCACCACCTCCGGTTCCATGTCCAAAGCCGCCTCCATGTCCACCACCACCACCGCCAATACCTTGCCCACCTCCATTACCGCCAAAACCTTGTCCACCACCACCAGCTCCACCGCCTTGTCCGCCACAATCTTGTCCTCCCCCGCCACTTCCACCTCCATGCCCAAAACCCCCACCACCAATACCTTGCCCACCTCCACCACCACCAAAACCTTGTCCACCTCCACCATCTCCACCGCCATGTCCACCACCACCACCACCGCAGCCATGTCCACCTCCACCACTCCCACCTCCTTGTCCACCAACATATTGTACACCACCTCCACCTTCACAACCTCCGGTAACCTATTCACCGCCACCAAAACCTTATCCGTATGTGCCAGAATGCCCATCTCTCCCTCCCCCATCACCATCTGATTGCGTAAGTACATTAGCATATCCTTTTACTCAATTAAATTTGCTATGGAATTTAAACTTTAATGTAAGATGATCCAATTAAAGATCATTAATCAATCAATTCGAATTCGGGTTTCATCTCGGCACCATTTCGAAATCTCATCTCTTCAAGCTTTAGAGTTACCAACAATGAGTCACGATGATGTTGTATTTTAAAAGCAATTTCCTTTCTAATTTGATCATTACATTTTTTAAGGTTCTCAGATCACCTACACATTCCTAATACCAAATTTAAGAATTAAAAGACGAATCTAAGTGATGTTAATATTAAACGAATAATCTAAGTAATGTTAATATTAGTAAAAATAGTGTATTTAGAACAGCGACTTTTAAACCGGAAAAATGTTTTATTTAGCGGATAGAAACTTCGCCAAATCATTATATAATCCAACCAATGAACCTATTCCCCACCCTTATTCATCTTAACTTTTATATTATTACTCACCAGATTTACCTGATGTATGGCAATATAATCACATTTACTATCACCAAATTACTTATCCCATTTTTGCAAATTGTAAATTATATTTGCTAAAATTATCACTATTATTAAAATTATGATTTTTATCAGTTACTATTATTATCAATATTAATGATTTTTATTGAAGAAAACTGATTCGGAAGTGTGCACAAAATGCAATCAACAATCAAAACCTTCAAAATCACCAAATAGAAGCATGGCTGGAGCATATTTTAGAACTAATAAAAGGCTTTCCCGAAAATCAGAACGATTAAATAGAAGGAATAAACGCGAAGAAACGAAAATTGTTATGAGTGACACTTGCAACAGTCATGATCTGATGGAAATTATGGATCAGGTACTATTTCAGTTATGGATAAATCAAATTTAAATTTTATATTAGGACAGATATGACATGTAGGCTATAAAATTCTCCTACTAATATCATCAATTTAGTAATCAATACTTTATTTCTTTTTTTTTTGTTTCCCTTCTTTTAAAATCCAGTCACTTTCATGTGATGTTCCTGCAATGGTTCCTTAGAAAGCTGACTAATAGTAGCGAAAATAAAATAATGTTCTGGAAAGCAAAAGTATACGTCAAATATTCTAATATTTTGCTGTTTTTTTTTCTCGATTTTTTTCAGAATTTATCAACTAACTTGGCAATCTCGAAACACTTAATTCAGAAATATGCCGAACTGAAATTAAAACGTGACTTCAACGTGATTTGCTCCAATAACTCATTTACGTTTATTACACATGCTACCCTATACTGCCAAACAGTTAAATTTAATGTTTCATGCTATGCTTTTACTGCTGATTAAATTCAATTTATCAGTTTGTATTAAAAGCTTTATCAAGCGATAAATGATAAGCAGTGATAATGAATATAATAAATGATATATAATGATAATTTATCTATTGTCGTCAACTTCTTTCTGATAACAACAAAGACTGAGGTTATTTGTGCCTCTTTGGTTCTTTTCTTCTGGGTGTCTTCCACACAATTAAATTATTCGGATAAAATGGTTAATACAACAGCAAATGCAAGAAGACAATTTTAACGACAACATCTCAACAACCGATTCGACCCAAACGATTTTGTAAAATGAATTTGATGAGTAGGATCATGCGCTTTGCGCTTTAACAAGTGAGAGGGTACGGTCCAGTTATAAGATCACATTCACAAGAAATGTAGTGTTCAGGACACGCATAGGATTTCTGTTTCTTTCTTTTGCACTCGTGATATCCCATTATATTACAGCAATGATACACATTTCATTAATGCAAAATTATTAGCAAAATATTTTTTCCTTTTCCTCTTTTTCTGCTCACATTTCTTTTGTCCTATACATATCAAACATTTCGAAAATTAGCACATTTCGCTTTTATTGCTTTATTAAAATTTGAGCTATTTCTTTTTCATGCATTAAAAAGTTTTGCATGAATATTTGAAAAATTAGTTGAACATATTTCATATTGAATATGCCTAACAATAAATTTTGCCATTATGCATGATAGAAGCATTGTTAATCAGTTTAGTAATATTTGTTGCTTAAAAAAAAAAAAAATAAAAATAAAAACAATAATTTCTGAGTAAGTCATATTTGGAAAACAAAAATTGGTAATATTATTTCACCTTGTATTAATGGAATGAGATTATCAATGATTTAAAATACTGTAGGTTATCTGGGAGCAAAATTTTATTACAATTCTATTACTATCAATTTACTCGAAATTTCGAAAAGTATTTCTTATTCCATTTTTTCAGTACTAACAAATTGTAGTTCATGTGATAAAACTGTAATGATAAAATTGCGAAGATTATAGTGATAAGATTACAAGTGGCAAATTATATGATAATGTCACGATGATAACATCAATGTTCATCTAAAATAAATTCCAGAATTTCAAATACAATATTTTGATTATGTCGCTGCGTAATTTAATTCTAATTTTTAAATTTAATTAGAAACTTTTTCTCTAATGTAAATTAGAAGAATTGTTTCATACTGTAAATATAAACTCAATTTGAGATCATGGAATTTCATATCGATACCGATATTAATGTCAGTGGGAAAGCCATTAAATGTTCTGCTTGTAAATGCTGTTAGGTAGTCCTAAAGTTTTCCCGGCAATTCTCGGATTTTTACGTTTAGAGTTTACTACTTTTTAAAGTAGTTAGTTATACAAACAAATATTCTGAATTAATTACTAGTTTTTCAATTAATGATTAATGCTTAGTGGGGATTAATGTTTGTCAAGTATTTCACGTATTCTGCATACCGCATAATTGCGGAAAAGTAATCGCGATTTCAGCTTGCATATGAATAGGAGTATTTGTTTTAAGTTAGTAGTAGATATGTTTTCCTCATATCATGTTTTACCATATCATAAATATCATGTTTTTAAATATGCTGCAGATGACAGAATTGGACGAAGGTGACATTGCTGATAACGGGTCTGGAAGTTTCGAAACCAGTCAGGAAGGTGATGGCATTACTCCTTTGAATCTAGTTCAGTCCATTTATGTAGGTTTTAATTTTATCTTCATTAAAATTTATTCTCAAATTGTAGACTAACTATTTGGGAAAGGATGATTAAGGGAAATGAAATGTGGAGTAGCTCGGTTAGATAGAATTCGAAATTACAAATAAAAACTTTAAGTTATTTTCTTTATAGCAGACTTAATTTATTTATAGCAGACTTTATAAACTTTTCACATCTCAGCCGGTTGCTGAAACAAGTAGTGATGTTGACGATTCAAAAAATGTCGTCGAAGATGATGATGAAAAGGATAACTCTTCGTCCCATTCGCACTTTTCATCACGCGAGTTTGTTTTTCCAGTGAAATACCTAACACCGTAATTTTTGACTGTAATTTTCTTACAAGAAGCGCAAACATTTTTGGTCTTTCAATGCGAGATGTGAGCGCAGACATAATATGTGTTTTACTTCATGATTTAAAGAATTGTTATACGGGTTAGAAAATTGATCGAAGTTGCTCGAAAAAAAAAGGCTTATAAACTTTGATGGTTTTATTATTGTAAGACAAGTTCTACAAGTTTTTACAAAAATTTTGATTTTATAATTTGATGACCATAGTGGGTTTTGTTCAGAACTGAGGGAGAATTGAAGGAGAAAGACGTTGTTAATCAGGATGAAAATTTGGAACAGCATTCTGAAACGAAGGAAAAGATTGACTATGATCAAATAAATATGGGTGACGAGATGGAAAAAGTAGATACAAATCACGAAAGAGTTGATAACGATTCTGATGGAGATGAAGGTTGGTGATAAAAGGACATAATTTCTTCTGTTTAGGGACAGTTATTGCTGCTCCATTTCCCAAATAGTATTTTTGCTTTTACAATTCGCCAAATTTCTTTGTTTTTTTCTTTTTTGTAAATAAAACATGGTCAAAAGTAAAAAACGTTGCAGATAAACAGGACGGTTCATCGGAACCACGACGGATCATGTTGTCCAGCGATGAAGAAGATAATATAGATGCTGCACCGGCAGCAGAGAAATCCAGGTAATTTCATTACTAACAGTTCATTATCACAAGGATGTTATTTATGAAAATGACTTTTATGACTTGTGTTTGACGTTTCTATATTCATTGTCAGTATGGTATTTGCCCAAGAAAAGCAGGTGGTTTTTGATTGAATTTCGAATTTTATCCCTATTTATATTACTTCCTAATTCGGTTGCAGTCTGTCTTTTTTTCCAGAGATGATTCAGAATCGGAAGGTGATGAAGAGCATGCTGAAGTTGGTGTTGGTGAACTGATGACCAATATATTTGGTGAAGATAGTGATGATGAAAAGGAAGGTGAAGATGTTCAAGCACAGTATCAGGTAGACAACTTGTACCTTTTGAAGTAACTTTTTGCAGCACATAAGATCTTCAGCTTCTATTTGATCTTTTGAAAAGACGTGAGCTTCAAATATGGAGAAAAAGTTTTTATAATGGCGTAAAACTAGTATTTCGATTTATTCGGTCCTGATGTCCAAGTTTCTTCGGTACAGTAAGTGTGGTAAAACACTATCTTTTTATTGCTTTTAATATTTTTACCTTAATATCAGGCTGAAAGGAATGGTCTAGAAGGAGATGATGACGAGCCCCGGTATGTTCGTGATGAAAATGACGAAGATGATGGGTAAAACTTTTAGTGAAAATATTTAATTAGCAACGCCCAAATAAATGTAATTGAAAAAAAAAGTGGGTGTTTTATAAGGTTGGTTTTGTAGGCGGGTTTGGGACTTTGATACAATGATGCGTGAAAAGAAGGCAGAACGACGAAGACCAAGAAGACGCCGACGAGATGGTTCCATTGATGTTGGTGGAGCGTATGATGATCAAATTAAAATGCTTATTGATGCTATGAAATCTGCAGCAAAGGTAATGTTCACCATTTTTACTTCTTAAGTGCATCAAGATAAAGTAATGCCTAGTTCATATACATAGCAGTTGGTATATATAACCTTGCATTTTTGCTTCTACTTGATAACTTTGATATTAATATGTATGAAAGTCCAAAAATTTTTCATGTAAAAGTTCAAATGTTCATTATTTTTCCAAAATATAACACGGCTATCTTCTAGCATACATCCACATGCTGTATTGCAAAATTGATTGTAATATTTATAGATTATAAATTTGTAATAATAGCTGTATAAGATATTTTAGGACGACCGTCATTCCAACATAGAGCGTCGACCTGCTCTGCAGAAGCGTAAAATGCTACCACATGTAAAAGCAATGTTAATAAAGCACGATTTAATGGAGGCTATAATTGGTAAATGAATATTGTTGATTAAATCGAAATACTTTTTGTGCTGATCCAAATTAAGTGCTTTAAAAGTTTTTGTGGCTCTGTTTTGTTAAGTTATTCACTTCGAATGTTGATAATCTACTGGAAAATATTTTAGATATTTAAAAAATTCCCAATATTTTTGTAGATAATGGCATGATGAATGTAATATCAGAGTGGTTGGCGCCGTTACCAGATAAATCATTACCTGCATTGGAAATTCGGACAGATTTGTTAAAAATTCTGCAAGATTTTAGTCGACTGGAACCAGGAACGCTGAAGCAATCTGGACTAGGACGTGCTGTAATGCTGCTATACAAACATCCACGCGAAACTAAAGAAAATAAAGCTCTTGCTGCACGGTTGATTAGTGATTGGGCTAGACCTATTTTCCAGGTCTCTCTTTTTTTGTTTTCCCTCGGGTACACTTATGAATTACTTTAACAATCAGGTTCCCTTTTTTTTTCAAAAATTGGTTCAAAATCTTTCCGTTCAATTTACGTGCTAGATAAGTTGAGAATGGTTTGATGATTCTCAAGATGGCATTACTATGAAAGACACATTGTATGAATTAAAGGACTGTTCTTGGTTAATATATTGTAATTCATTAGCGGGATTATCAATTTTTAGTTGACTTTGTTAGAGGTTGGATTTCAAGGTAGAAATTGCGTTGAAATAAGATTTAATGTCAAGCAAGGTCATAATACTATTTTTTGTGATCTAAGAGAAAATATATTGAGATATTATTCTTAAATTTATTTTTTCTATTTTCAGCTCGACACTGATTTTCGTTCAATGACAAAAGATGAGCGTATACAGCGTGATTATGCGCAGTTATCAGAAGCTAAACGGCGACGCTTGGAGTAAGTGTTTGGATTTTAATTGCTGCATAAATGAACTTATGTAGTTTGGCATTACTATTTCATAATAAAATCGAATATTGGTATTGATTATCATGCAGTTGATTGAATTTTCTAGAATTGGTCAGTATTTGTTTGTTAAAACTGAAAATCTCATTTTACTTGAAATCACAAGGATTGTTATGCTGTACTCGATGCAAACGTTTTAGATACTTCCATGTAACTGATATTATTTGGAAACATTTTTAGTGCAGGATCAGAAAGTTCAGATGCCGAAAAGGAGATATCAGAACCTCGTCCAGGTGATAAAGGTTTTATAATGCGTGCACGTGTACCACGACCGTCTCAGAAGGATTACGTTGTACGCCCAAAGAGTAATGTTGAAGGTCAGTTTCGTGGAGCAACGAAGAATCGTTCTAATAGTCGGTTCGATCGAACACAAAGGGAATTCAAAGAACGTACAAAACAGCAACGTACTCAACGAGCAGTTGCTGTAACTATTAATCGCGTTAATATATAATAAATGTCTTCATTATTTTATTGCCATTATTGCCATTCGATTACAATATGAAAAGTGAGAGTAAACCTATAATAGATAGCGTTTCAGAAGTTCTTCAAGCAGCAAAATTCTAGGGATGTTGTTAGATCCCAGAAAAATTGTTAGTCTTCTTTTGTATACAGCGTGTAAAAGCTTGTTTCAATCTTTACTTAACACTCAAATTTTTTGAGTTATTTTACATTTACAGACTGACTTTGTACGATTTTTTTTATGCATGTCAGCAAATAATGTATTATGAAAACCTCTCACCTAATTTTTTTTTTTTTATAGAAATCATCAGTTTTCAAATTTGTCAACATATACAATCATTAAAAATTATTTTTATGATCATTGCGTTTTACAACTGATTTGAACTTTTTCAAACCGATGTAACGTACTTTTTTTATCAACTGTACGTTTACTTCTAATTTGTATATTCAATTAGAGGATGTCCAATCTTCATTTATTACAACGCTGTATATTTCCCATGCATACTTAATGAATTGAAATTTTGAAAATTACATCACCACCCAAAATTTTCAATAAAATATAGATTGGTACTGCATATTGGAGCTCTTCTTATCACTCTAGTGATTTTTTCCTTTCTTTTCAGTCCTGTAATGAATTATCTTTTGAATTTCGAATTTAAATTATGAATAGAACGTAAACAATGTAGGAAAATAATAGCACAAAAACGTCATGGACAAAACATAGCATAATATGTGTCTCGGAAATTATTGAGGAGAGGAAGTGTATTAATTAATTAATTACTATGTTATGACACGTGGCGTGTTATAACATATGGCAAATATATAGAGAATTTAAAAAATTCATAGAAATAATCCATGTAAATAAAGTTTAATATTTTAAGGAAATTCTTGTTTCATTAAAAATTGCATGATGGCCCTCATCAAAGAAGCGTATATATTTTGTATTCTACAATTTGGTAATAAGAAGGAAACAGGTTGTTGGGGTGTGTACTTTTACTTTGGTTAAACGATTTATTTCATTTTTTTTTAAAATTATTTCGTTTCTAGTATCATTTCGTTTTCTTCATTTATTTAATTTTTGGAAGAATTTTGTTTACCAATAAAGTTAATATTTCTCCAGAAATGCGCTAAATTATTTTCAAATTGTTTGACTCAGTTTTTATTTTAGCAAAAGTATATTATTATTATTCTTTTTGAAATTAAAACACAAAATTATTAACTTTTATGAGAGTATTGTAGTAGGCGCATAAATGTAATTGGTAATATTTTCTTCTAATTGTCTTCTTATATGAATATATATATTTAAATATTATTAAAAACATATCAATTAATTAATCGATCAAATTTTTGAATAAGGATAAATAATGAGTACTTTTTTGTTGTTTGTTTTATCTGACGAAATATAATTGAATGATTAAAAGTAAATTGTTTATTCGGGTTGAATAAATAATAACAAAAGTAATAATAATGAAAACAGGTATAATAGTGTGTAGAAGGAATATGTTGCTTATCATGTGATGTAGATCACTGAACAACATTAGTCTCTCATATGACAGTATATGGCAATATGTTCATATCACTGATGAATTAATTATAATTTGAAGAAAATAATTTGCACAAAGTTGTCGTTATCATTGCTATATTTTATCTTTCTATGCAAAAATTTATTAAAAATTAAGTTGAGATAACTTTTTTTATCATGTTTTGTCACTTTTTATGTATACAATTCAAAAAGATCATTTTTTGTTAAAAATTTTTTTTCAGGACAATTTTTTATTAAGATATATTTCAAACTTTTTGAATCATTTCATCTTGTTTTAAGGTAGAATTGGACTCTCCAGTGTTTCAATGAAATTAAAACAAACCTTTTGTTTACAGTGAATAGTACTATTGAATGCCGCTGAAGTCGTTATCAAGCAGAAATGCATATGCAAAATATTTGCGTTAACTGTGAAATCTTCATGTTATTCGTACTTTCTGTTTTCGTCATATCAACTTATGAACAATATATCATTGAAGTGGTATGTTTTTCAAAAAAGCGAAATTTTATTAAAAGTTTCAAAATTTCACACAAACCAAATTATATAACGTATCATAAATCTAGGGATGTTGTTGTTTACTGAAAAGATTCTCTTACATTTTTCAAGCAAATTGGTATGAAACTACTACATATTGGTAATTTAGACACGTACAACATTTGAAGATAACAGATTAGAGAGAAAAATTTAGTTGAATGTTTCTCACGTTTTCTAGAAGAAGATATGTGATCATGCGATTGTTGAAAATTAGGCTTTAAGTAACATATTTCTGTTTAGTAGTGCAACTCATGATTGATTTTTAATTTTAATTATAGAGTTGGTATATCATTTTAGCTGGAACTGCTACATCAAATGATGATTTAGCAATTTTTGAAGTGAATAACGGAGTTTAAGAAATATTTTCTTTTGATTTCTTTTTAATATTCAGTGAAATAATTTGCAGTGGGAGCCGAGACCAGGTGGGTTTCAAGCTGTGTTGCAGTGCGATGCAACAGGTGCGGATTTTGGGGGTGAAATTCCAGTATTAAGTTTCAGTGCTAATGAGACCGGTTGTGCATATTTTACAACTCCCGAAGATTCTTGTCAGGATACTTTTGTAAGTGTATTTTATACTTTTAAAAAGTCACTTCACCGTTGGTTTTCCATATTGTATATAAAATATACAAAGTTCATAATAAAAATGCGAATTGTTCTCCAACTCCATGAGTGTTTTTTCCTCGCTTCGGACAATAGGTCTGAGAACATCACATTAACTCAATTTCAGAATTAGGATTTCTGATGGTCGTTGAATGACTGTTACGTAGGTTTTTCATAAGAGATTTTCTAAATCCGCTCTAAGGTTTTTCTCAAAGAAGCAGTCATCCCGCCTAGTCCCAGAAAATTGAAAATGTCGTGGTGCGTTGGGACTGAACAAATAAGGAATCGTTGGAATATGGTTAGAACAAAATTTCCTACTTGCAAGTAATAAATATTGGAAAGAGAAGCATTTGCAGAACAATCGAACCGGATGTATCAATTATTACGCAGTGGTACCTCGTGGTAATTGTAGCTTTTCAGAAAAGGTAAATATTATGTTATTATTATCACGAAGATACATTTCTGATCTGTAGTTTTTTCGTGTATTTGTAGCTATTTTTAATACTTTGATAGTATTCCCTATGCATTAGCAATCATAAAGCATTTGGTTTTGAACTATTAGTACTTAAATTAAATTGAAAATAAGATCTCTGTTGTTTTATCATTTTTTGTCTTAGGCTGTGTTATATTAAACTGATGAATCTTATGCAATTGTACTTCTTTGCATTTGACTAATTAGAAAAGTAATTGTCTTAATGCATAATTTAGGCATATCATGCACAAAGAGGATATCCGGATCCATACAATGCGCTGATTATATTTAACGATGATGGCCATTCACCGGTACCAATGGCTGGCAGCAAATATGCAGATCGAGTGGTGATTCCAGTCGTAATGGTAAGCCATGCATGCATGACAAATTTGATGGATCGTTTTTCGGCTGAGAAAGGGTTAGTTTTGTTCTCGTTTGTTTATTCAACTCTCTTTTCCTTTCGTAGGTTTTTAATACTGTATCTTTCTTTTATCAACTTCTATTTCTCACTGAAGATAGTAGCTTAATCCTTATTCTATTTCTCTAGGTTCGACAGAGTTCGAAGTACTGAAGGATTCGTATATGAGGATTTATTTGCTATTACTTTTTTTGCAAATCGATAATTATTGTTTACTTCAAAGTACATCTGTATTGATTAAATTATACTCCTGTTTGTATGCGATTTCCAGATATGTAGTGGCGATACGCGCTATTCCCGGATATTATGACCTTGTCAAATACCTTATCCCTTTGATCGCCGTCGTTGCATTTTGTTTCGTTGTTCTTTGCATATCATTGGTAAATAGTCATTCAAAAATTGTTTTGGATTTTCTTTAATCGCTTGAAATTTTTGTGTATTGTTTTTGATCGAATGTGATGTCAATATTGCAAGTTCCTGAATTTTTAGAGATTTCAAAAGTTAAATTTCGGTATTTAGCAATGAAAGAAGTTGCGATTTTTGGCATCAAAAACTTCTGAATAATAAACATCAATATGAATATAGAAAAAACCTAATTTTGCTTAAAAATATTGATTGTTTTAGGCAGTACGAGTATGTCGCGAACGTCGGCATTTAGCAAAGAAGAGATTATCAAAGCGAAATCTGAAGAAGTTACCAGTCAAAAGGTTTAGAAAAGGTTTGTGGGCTTCGCAACAGTGAATTAACGGATCTATTTACTTACTGCTTTTAGTTTCTTTTCCTGACGTTTTCAATTCTTAATCCTTATAGTCTTTGCTGGCATTCGAAAACCTGAAAACTTCTTGTCCCTAAAATGTATTGTTCTCCATCTCTCTTTCATTACCGTCCTTTTATTCATTTGCTTAATATAAAAACATCTGTCTAGTATATAGATTGAAACAAGTCAGTAAATTACCGGAACCATAATCTTCATTTGATGAATCCAGTTGTATATTGCATTTGGATTACACCTAATGAATTTTTGAGCGAGATATTTATTAATTGAAGTTTTCTTTTTCAGGTGATGCAGAGGAATCATGCGCAATATGCATTGATGACTTTCTCGATGGTGAAAAGTTACGTGTTTTGCCATGTAATCATGGTAAAGCATTCAATTTTTATAAGTTAAATCTCATGAATCCACAAATTCAGTAGTTTTTCTTATTTGTGATATTTCGGTAGTAAACATCAATAGTCTCAATGAAAATTATTAATGATACCTTTATTCAGCTTACCATTGTAAATGCATCGATCCTTGGCTGACAAAAGTTCGAAAAGTTTGTCCTATATGCAAACGGAAAGTTTTGTCGTCGGGAGAATCTGATTCATCAGACTCTGATGATGGACGTGACTCTACATTAGCATCTGGTTCTACAACGGTTTATCGTGAAAATGCTCCATTGCTTCGTAATGCTGAAGCGGTACGTTTTTGTATTTGTGTTTGCTTGTCTGCCAGAGTTATAGATAATTTGCTTTTACTGAATTTCAAACAAATTTTCTGGAAAAAATTTTAATTTTGCTTGTGTAGAGCAAGTCTAACTTTTCTTTTACAGTTCGCATCTGGAAGTCCCTCAGTACCCACTGAGAGAACTCAGAGAATGCAAAGAAACATGCAAGGTAATAATAATCTGCTAAGTTAGGTGAATCTAATATATGATAAATTTGTCTCCTTAAAGAAAAAGAAAAGCTTGTATTTCAACGTTTTTTTCAAAATTTTGCTTCCACACTACTGGAATATAATTTCAGGTGGACATAGGCCACCTCTACGTGTGATTGTAACATCTCCTGGTAATACTCCTTTACCAGCACCTGAAACGGGTTATGTAACTATCGCTGGTGGTGAAATTCGTGAAAATGGTGGTACCAATCTAATATCAAGTCGAATTGAAGCAGTTTCCGAAACTTTACGCCGAACATTACGTCCATACTATCAGCAAATTGTCAGTAGATCGATACGTGTTCCATGGCGAAGTGCTACGAGAGAGTCGGTAAGCTTACTATTTCATTTATGAAGGACCTAAAAAGGACTATTATATGTTACCATACGTTCACTTTTGTGGCATATATGGTGCAGTGAGATGGGATAGTGCAGTAGTGTATCCGTTTGGAGATTTTTCCTTTCTATAAATATTGATCACTGAAGTAATTGATACATTTGGCCACAAGGTTGCACTCTTTATTATTAACCTTTTTTATATTTGTTTCAGGAATGCGCATCTGGGCCGAGCGTACAAAGACCTTTTGTGGTTGACAATAATGCGTTTGATGAAGGCAATGAAATATTTAATGTAGGTTTTCATTTTAAAATTTTTGCTATTTTTTTTTTCATTTATATAATCAGTCGAAGACGTTTTTATTGCTACTGTTTAAAATAAAAATTGAACTTATAGATAGCAGAAGGCTCTTCTGTTACTGATCGACGTGATCCTGAAGCTGTAGGTACTTTTCCTTCGGAAGATGTTGCTGAAAATGAAAGAAATCGCTGTCTAACGGCGACCTCTAGCAGACCAACTTGTACCGATTCTGAATTAGAGGTCGATAATCACCAAAATGCCACTGATAATCAACAAAATGTAAGTATTTTGTTCTTCCAAGGCTTGAAAGCATTTAAAAAGAATATAATCTACCATTGCTTTTTAAAAAAATTTTTTTTTTTTTTTTTTTTTTACATACATTATTGTTTTTATTATAAACTGTCAGTGTACTACACTTTAATTGAACATAGCGCAGAAATAGATTTGTTAGTGGGTGAATATTTTTCAGGTCGTAAGTGAAGAATTTTGTACTAATGAACCTATTGCAAATGTGTCAATATGTGTCAGACACGGGTATGACATTTAAACTTTTTGTGGTGGTTGATGTTGTCTTACAAATTCTTTGGTGAAATAATCAAATTGTCATCAAAAACTCTAAAGTAGATTGTGATAGTCAAAAATTCTAAAGTAAATTATGAAAAATAACGAATATCAAAACAACGGAAAAAAACACTAAAAGCATTACGAACTCCAAAAAACCATAGAGAAAAAATATTTATATAAAAGAAGGAACCAAAAAAAAAAAAAAAAAAAGAAATTCCAAATCACTTCTTGTGTTTCAATTCTTGTGCTGTTAATTGAATATGAAGGTATTGCTAATTGGTATAGCAAGGTTTAAGGGTACATTTCAATGTTTCTGTAATTGCTTGATTTTCTTTTGACTCTCACTGAAGATACATTAAAGAGACTCTCTCTATTATTGAATTCATCTATTACAGTGCAACTCCAGTGCCTGCTAATTTAATTTCAACTGTTAATGGCTCGACAGAACATGATATGAGTGTTAGCGAGCAAGCTTTAATGGGCGAATTTGAAGATGCAAACAGTGTTCAGCAAGAGCATGATTAAAACTAGTCAGATTGATATTGTTTTTAGCGGTTATCATTTCTTGTTAGCTTAAATGATCGAGACTTAGCCAATTAGAGCTCATTTCTGGGTTACGTAAATCTCTTTCTAATAAATTTATTTTTTTACATGTTTCCAGTTATTAGAAAAAGAGGTTTGCTTAATTCCGACACCAGAAATGGTCAAGGAAGAAGTTGAGATTCGTTGATCTGTGCCTAGTAGTAGTTCATTGACTAAGTTTTTGAGTAAATCTTGAATTCTTAAATAGCTGGTGCTTTAGTTTTCCATCCTGTCGCCTCTAATGAACTTTCCAAAGCAACGCACTCAACATATTTCATTTTTCATTTCAACGGTACGACAAATATTTGGTATATTTTTGAATTGGTAATTTAAATTAATTATTATGTCACGGTTTCAGGTTTATTACTTAAAAAAAAATATTTGAAAATTTCCGACCAAAAAAAAATGAAAAATTTTTCTTGCCCCATATATTAATGAATGCTTATTGCTTCAAAACATGATAGAATAAGGTTGAAAAATTATTTATAGTTTCAGAATTTTTTTTTTGGAGGTAGCATGCCAGTCCTTATCTATAATATATAGTAGTATAATCAATAAGCATTTATTGAAGCTAAAGCGCTGAACTGAGAATAATGGTAATCATTCTTCATTTGATAGCTCATTTATTTGTATATTCTAAAAATTTTTCGAATTTTTTCTCTATATTTTGCATTTAGTGAATTTAAAAAAGAAAAAAATCATCCTATAAAATAATACATGGCATATTCTTGAACTGCATTCATATTGAATTTGGAAATTATTCCAAAAAATCTTTTAAAAATTTAGATCAGTAGTTAGATAAAAATCATGAAAAATTTGTTCTTTCAAGAAAGTTGCTGACATTTTCCATTATTGCTCACCATTTTGACAACCTGAATTTCTTCATTGTCTTTCTGCTGCTTTTTTTTCTCATTCATTTTTGTGTCATCATTACTGCTATATATATATATATATATATATATATATATATATATATATATATATATATGATGACATTTTATGATTTTTTCTTTTTTGATTTTCTTAAAATGTTTTTTTTCTTTATTTCAGAGGTATTTCTTCTTCCTTTTTATAGTTGCATAATGACAGGGAGCTCACAATCAGAGTTTATTAGGGGCCGAATTTCTTCTAATTTTTTATTAATTAAAATTTCTTGAATCTTTTCCTTTTTGTATAATAAATAGTTTTGATTTAAATGCTTGCTTAATTCATTTTTCTTTTTTTATAATGTATAAATTGTATTTTTGCTCTTTTCTGGTTGTGATATTTCTAAAATTAATTGTGCTTGTTGAAATCAGCAACAGGCTAAAGAACCTATTGAAAGACATATTTGAAAGCTATGCAAGGTGAGAGATTGCGATATGGTATGTCTTGTATACTTCACGATATGCATGTTGTATATGAAATTCGATGATATTGGCACTTGTAGTGTACCATACTCATATGTTTACTTCTATATTCATTTATTTCAGAATTGTAAATATTTGTATAAAATAATTTACCATTTTTTATTAAACATTGGGAAAATATCTTAAATACACTGAGTTCAAATAATTTGCGCAACAGCAATTAACTTTTTTACAAAAGTTAATGATAAATCTGATTGATTTTTGAGGCTTTTGTTGTTCACTTTGATCAGTGATTTCTTGTCGTGTCTATACCAAGTTTTTAGATTAATTGATTTAACTGTTATCTTTAATATATAAAGGGATTTCAATCGTGTGTGGTAATTCTGGCAAGAAAAAAAAAATAAAGGAGAAGAAACATGAAAACAATACAAGCAGGTTCGTTTATCCAGATTATTATTGCTGATTAATTTGACTGATGAAAAAAAAAAGTGAAAATTTTTGGGAAGAAAACAAGTGGAATATAATCTTTAATAATAATAATTCTTACACCATGATATAGCAATTAATTGAAACATCTTTGTGGCAATCATAGTGTATCATGTATTATTAAAATGATAAGAGTGACAATTTCTAGCTAAATATAGTGTCATAATGAGGAAGTGGTCATTTCAATGCTAGTTCGTCACTTCATTATAGTTCAACTATATACGGATCCCAGTGCAGATAGCAATTAAATCCCTGTCTGACTAAAATTAGTTCGAAATTTAAAATTGAAAATGAACTTGTTTGATTAGTAAGTGTAAAAATATTCAGCAAATGACATCATCAGAAAATACTGAAACGCTAATGCATAACGATATATTTAATGGAATCAAATTATTTCACATGGCTGCAGAAAAGTTGAGTACAGTGGAAGAGGATCTGCAAAATCGACATTTTGGTTGAGAATTTCCAAGAGGAAATAGGGAGACCAGATGCATAAATAATACTGTTTGTAATTAAGAAATGTAGTAATGACGTAGTTTCATTCATTTTTTTCACTTTAAATATATTCATAAGCTTTCCAAAATTGTTGCATATTTATATATTATCATTCTTTTAGATTGTTTACATTTTAAATAGTAAAGTTTTAAAAGAAATAACATTTTGCATGAGTAATACTTTCCGATAGTTATTAGCACCAAGAATTGGCTTTCTTCTTCTTCGAGCATAACAATAATAATAGTAATAATATTTAGGGAAAGGAAAAAAGGGTACAATTAAATTAAAGATTACATGCACTTAAAATTAAAATATACATGAAGATAAAAAGCATTAAATTTAAATTAAATTCAAATACAAATAGGAAAAAAGAAAGGATAATACTGTGCAGCATACTAATTATTTGTTACAAATGTATCTATATCTAATGTTAATTTCAATTGTTTGCATAACTTTCAATCTAATTACTCTTTATCAGTCGTTGTTTTATCATCATTCCTATGCTAATTATCTTCTTAAAATGTTAGTAAATGATGACTACAGTTAGATATAGCAACTTTTATCTTTCATTTTCTTAATTATTTTTTTTATTTTTTTTTTTTTTTTGCCCGAATCTGAACTGTTATGTTTAATTAATTAAATACAAAAACTATTGTTCAACAATTCTTATGAAAATTGTCTTTTTACGATATAAGAAATCAGTTACAATGAAATATAGGAAATAAGTCTTTTATTACTTTTACTTATTTTCATTAGAACACAATCATTTCTCTATTTTTTAATGGTTAGATTTAATTATATCCAAATGTAAATATGCTATTTACCATACTATTAAAGCACTATGTTTTATTTAGAAGTGAATCTTTTATTAATTGTAATTATTGAATAAAACATGAAAGAGTTTTTTTTTCTTTTTTTTGCATTCAATTACTTCAGTAAAAGATTATTAAATTGTCGTTATAAATGATAATAACAAAATTATACAAAGGAACACAAAATAGTATCGTTAAAATGAAATGAAATCAAATTTATGAGCTAGGTTCAGCATGACAGTATTTTTTAATTGCAGCAGCTAATTATGATTATTACAGCTAAAGTTCAAATGCACTGATGTTGCAAAATTCTATAACCTATTCATCTAATCTAGTCTAGCCTAATTTAATTATTTTAAGATAAAAAATATTTTTTTCTTATGTTAAAAATGGGAAACCTTCTCAAAATTATAGAAATTTTTGCAAAATTATAAATCATTTTTTGGCACCAGAAATTTAATAAGGATATGAAAAACGAGCTGAACTTAATCCGATAAAATTAAAATTAGAGCATTTATCATACTAGCATATATTATCATCACTTTTAGTGTGTGTATACATATATATATATATATATATATAGTTTGAAAATGAAATCTAAATTAGAGAATAATAACGGAAAAAAGTTCCATATTAGCATATCATATATTTTCTGAAATTTCTAATTAAAATAAATATAAATAATTTCTTGACCTAACTAAACCTTATTCAAATAAAACCTTAGAAGATAAGAACAGGATGGATCAGATCAGATTCAATTAATTAAACTATAAACACTGAAATAGGAAATATGAATTATTGCTACCTAAACTCTAAGCTAGCATTAATTAGGATTTGTCCTGATTTTTAATTAGTAATGATTCATAGTGATCATGATTAATAATGATCATGACAATGGATAAAAATAATAATAACGGTAATGGGTAATAATGATAATGGTAATAATAACATAAGAGATATTTAAGTAAATATTATTATTTAACTTATTCTTTTTCTTCGTCTTTTTTGGCTTTTTTCAATTTTTTCCCTATTTTTTATTTTAATTACTTTTTTTTTTGTTGAAATATTTCAAAGAATGGTAAATATAATACTTATAAAATAATATCATAGTAACTGCATTAAATTATGATATTATAAATGGCTGATTGATAATAGATAATTGCAATATCAATGATTAAAATAACATTTAGGAACAAACCAGTTAGGTAATGACATAAAATTACGTAGCTAATCTATGTAAGTCTAAAAATAAAGAAATGAAAATATATGTTGGACAAATACGTAATATTCTATTTATTCAAGTGTATATTTTGGATAAAATTCCATCAATTTTTGTCAATCACTCAATCAATCAATAGTTAATCAATCAATTGATTAATCAATTAAAAAAAGAGGCTGTGATAAGCATGATAATATTCATAATGTGTGCATTATTTTGCATAACTTATTCGAACTAATTCACACAAGTAATTTTTGATAATATTAAGAGCTAAAAAGAGAAGTAGATTGATTGTTAAGCAATTTTATGCTAAATGCTATTATCTTGATGTATTCGTCAAAAAAAAAAGAATATGATTTGTTTAGTAACACTTGGCTCGCTCATTTGTTACGCAATTAGCCAATTTTGTTTTGGTGAAAGATATTTGAATGAATTAAATTTTAACTGATATTATTAATTCATTTCATACACGCTGATGTTCCAATGCAGCTTGTTGTTGTGTAACAGCGGCTAATTGTGATTGTGCAGCTGTTAGCTGAGCTGCATAATTGTTGGCTGGTATTAGGCCATATGGCATATATG